AGAAACACAACAATCGAATCGGAGTTCAGTTTTCTCTTTCTGTCATTTCACTTCCGTTCATAACGACGCGAGTCCTTGATAAAAGCGCTACGTCATCCCATCGGGCCAAAGGCCGAGGGAGGACGTCAACAGGTCAACGGGTCAACGCGTCCCCCGTGTGTGGGCTAAGGCTGTGGTTCACAGCACCGAGTCAACGGCAACATCACCCGGCATGTCTGAGCCACCCTTCGTTTCTATGGCAACTGGCAAGAAGCCGACGTGAGTGACAAGTGGGAATCGACACCACCTCCACATCTGGATCTCATTACCCGTTTTCTTCTCTCGGTTTTCTGGTCAGTCCGCACCTCCTCTCTCTCCTCCCTCTCCCCCCCCCCCATGGATTTCCTTTCAGCGAGCTGCTCGTGGGCATCGCTCCCATTCTGTCACCATGAGAACCCTCTCCACTCACATTCCTCAGAATAGCTCCGACCACTCGCCCACAAGGGGAGAAGGGAGATGACCCTCCCCCAACTCCCCCCCCCAACCCCCCTTCTGACAACCAGCGAGGCCACGTGACCCAAACAGGGACACTGCCGTCACGTTTGTATGATCATTGGAAGATTGCTGCAAGCCGAGGGCTGAGATTTATGAAAAAATAAATCAGATATCACATGACTATCGATCTACTGCCGCCCTCCATTCCACGTTTCTCTGCAGCTCTAAACTTCTTCTCCAGGTTTAAATAGACATCCAACGCTACAGAAAAGGTCACGGCTTCCTGTCGAGAGTCTGCAGGCCGGTAAACGGAGGAATGAGTCACGGGTACCTGGTGGGGGGGGGGGGGAATAACTGGAATGTCACGTCGGTTATCGAGCGGCAGGGGAAACGGACTGGGGGCGAGAAAAACAAAAACTCCAAAAAACGAATAATGCTCCTCGGGGAGGGGGGGGTGAAAACGTACCCGTGGTTTTATTTCAAAGGACTCGAGGAAGGAGATCGTTGCCGTGGAGATGATCGATGCTCGAGGCGCCGGACGTGGCTTGGATTAGTCCTGCGCGCTAAAGCCTCTTAAGAACAAGCGCACGGGCTCATGTGCACACAGCCTCTCGCTCCCTTTGCCCTTTAATTGCAGCCTGTTTGAGGGGCGGTGATGAGGTCTGGAGTTACAGAAAATCACCCTCTTTGCCGTGAAAGGAACCGAACAGAGAAGGCGACAGTTTCAGCAATCGCAATACCTTCTTTTTTTTAAAAACCCTCAACGGCTGAACTACCTGCGCACCCGTATAATCCATCTTTTCTTCCTCCTCTCACGCCTGTCGGCTTTATAAATATCCCACAAACACACGAGGGCAACGCTTCCCGTCTACACACACACACACACACACACACACAGAAGCCTGCGCGAGTATCATCGTTTCACATAAACAAACGCACACATTCATCCCACATGTGCCCTAAAGCTCACATTTACACACACTGCCTCAAACCTTTGCCTGGGTAATCTGTCTGAAGCCTTCCTGATTATATTTGTATATATGTGGTGTATTAAACAATTTAAAATAATAGTTATTTTTATTTCCTCTCGTGGTTTAGTCTCACGATCCAGGTGTGTGAATCCGAGGCCTCACTCTTTGCAGCCGGGTCTTAACAAACCGCTGTGGTTCTAAAACCCCCAGAACACACATCAGTGTGCGTTTGTTAGAACCCGCTCTCATGCACACACAACGCGTGTAACTGGGGGTCTTGTGCAATGACCTATGTGACCTTTAAGTATCTTAGCAACATCGCGGAGGCAACCTTTTGGTTGTTGCTAGGCAGACACGGGTGATGAAGATGAGCTTGTGAGTGCGCGCACACACACACACACACACACACCACATTTGGACATTTTCGGACAAACATTCAGTTCCCATCATCACCACTTGTAATGTTTGACCGTCTTTGCCCCGATGGAGTAAATGCATCGTAACATGCAGCTCTGGGATGAGGCCCTTTTACAAAATATAAAACCAACTCTCAGTGTGTGTTAACGGGGGACTAATCATGTATTTAACAGAAGAGAAAATGCACCTCAAACCCCTGATGTACAATAGTAAGTCTGTAATAAAGGAGTTTCGTTTAATTGTGACGGGTCATCAATGAATTACAGAAAAGAAAAGAAAGCGTGTCGCCTGTAAGATCAGCAAAAATGAGTAAATGTATAAAAAGATCCCAGAGAAGCAGCATAATAGCTTAATTAGCGTTAGTTAATGGAGGCGTACTGGGAACCTGTCAAATGAAATAACGGTGTGTCACTAATAATATCCTGGTGGAGTTCTGATACTTTTGAGAAGGAAAAGAGATCTGAAAGACTTCGGCCTCCACATGAAGTACAAACAGTCACAAGTCGACGGATTCCTGCGCTGCACAGCGAGGACTTTTAATTAGACTTGGTCCCTTTTTGTGTTGAGTGAGTCGTGGACTTGTTACCGGTTGTTGTTGTTGTGTAGCCTCAAACCACAGTTTGTGTTATTCCGCTTGGGACCAACATAAAAGCTCCGTGTCGAGAGAAGAAATGTGAGGAGAGAAACATCACACAGGTTTAAGGCCGTGATGAAAGAGGCTGAACACTCGACCCGTTGTGACCCCGTCCTGCCAATTTAAAGCCCAAATGATTAGCAATCTCCTCCCGAGACGGCGTCTGAGGTGGTTTCTGTCTCTTCGCCGCCCGTATTAATGAGTGCATGTTCATGCACGCGCACACACACGCACACACACATTAACGGCGGCTGCTGTTCCAACAGACAGCTTGTTAAATTGTGTTTGTGTCAAAAACCCGGAGCGAAGATAAACGGACCCAATTTGCCGTCGTTCATTTCAATCTGCAGGACAGCTTGACCTTTGCGCTCGCCTCTCTTCTCCCCTCGAGCCGACTCGAGCTGAAGGAAAAACTCTTTTTAAAATGTTTAAGTGGAGGCGCCTTGGGGACGTGTATTGTTTTCCTCCACCGTGTCTCTTAATGACAATTAGAAATCCTTGCAAAAAGGTTCAACGCGAACAGAGTGACGGATAAGAACGACGTCTTTGCTCGGCCTCTCGCGCGTTATTCATTAACAAAGGCTGCTGCCTGGAGACTAAACAAAACCGGATTGGAAGTGGTTTTCTGCTTTAGATCTTTCGGTCTGGTGGATTAAAGCACCAGCTGAAAGAAAGAGGGAGTTAAAACAGTCACCAGCGATTAGATCGACGAGACCGATATCGGATAATAGGATTTCCTTCCAGCTCGGAACGGAAAGGAGGGAAAATATGTCCACACGCAGCGCTGATCTCCCTCCAGTCCGCCTCGCAGCCCCAATCTTTCCATTTGGCCTATAAATAAATACCGGCGCTGTCACGGGGGGGGGGGGGCAAATGGAGCTACCGCCGCGGTGGACGGATGGCGGGGAGCTGAAGCCCAGGATGCGTCGTCGCCAAGGGAGACGGGGGAACCCGATGGCTGAGCAGGTGAAGTCGGACGTGGCTCCGGGCGCGGCCTCACAGGTGGAGTGGCGTGGGTTTGAACCATTGCGACACCTTGTGCTGGCGGAGTCGCTGCTGGGAGAACAAACGTGCCGCAGGGCTCGGATTCTTAAATTCAAAAGTTGCTCTGAGAAACAGGTTGTTATAGAAATGCCACGCTGCTGGTTTCCGCCCCTGTTGGAACTAGGAGGCGCACGGCCAAATGAGTCCTTCCCCAACCATTCACATCAGCCCAACAGCTGGGGAGATGAGGGACGATGCACCGCGTAATGCACGATTCGTCAGATGGTTGAGCAGCTTTATCGCAGCGTCTCCGGGGAATAATGTCATTATCTCCTCTGGGTGCTTTTTTTTACCCCCCCCCCCCCACCAGGCTTACAGTTCTACACAGTAATCATCTCGTCTCATTTACTTTCTTTGCCAAATCTTTTGCTTTAACAAGTTGCCACAAGGGCTACTCTGTCTGCCGGATATTGATTAATATCTAATACGATAAATGACCACGGCGCGATTTAAAAAGAGATTACATAAAAGGCACGAGGGAAGTGTTTGCAGGTCTGGAAACAATATGTCGACCCCGAGGGACGATGGCCGCATCGTCGGGGGCAATGAAGTGAAGACTTTGAAACAGAGGCTGAAAACACACGAGGACCGCGGAGATGTTTACAAGCGCGTTGTAAAATCATTCACGGGCTTCGCGTGAATAAATGTGAAATGTGCTGCATTAGGTTCATCGTGCCGGAAGCGCTCTGAAGGAGGAGAGGCAGCCGTGACATTTGCTCCAGTGACAAAACACGTCCATGTTTAGTAAATTAAAAGACAGAAAAGCAAACACTGCTGGCTGTGTGCAGCAGCAGCAACAACAACAACAGGGGCCCCCGCAAGAATCTCTCTGGTGCTGGAGACCTTTTCATTGGAAAAGAATCATGCATTTTAAGAATAATAAAAAAAAAATGTTTTTTAACAGTCAAACCCTGTTTACAGCTGATCCACGTGACTTAATGCCAGAGTGCACTCTGCTGTTTGGAACTGTAAGTGGACACAAACGGATTCATCGATAAGTGCACGTGGGAGTGGGAGTGTGGCGCAGTTGGGGAGAACTGCCCACCTGTCTCCATTCTAACCTCAGGACCCTGTGGAGGCTTCTCCCCCCCCCCAGAGAAGACACTCACCCATCGGCTGTCCGTGATAATTCCAATTAAACGCAGCCCACTGATTCAATGAGAGCTCATATCTGTAATTCAATTTGAGGCTTCAGTGGAGACGAATGGAAGGAAATTCGAGTAGTTTTCTTTTTTTTGGGGGGGGGGGGGGTACAGCCATCAAGCACGTCGGCTTAAATAATTTATTTATCTGCCGTTTCTCCCTTTACCCTGTTTTTTTCCCCCCCTCTGCTTCAAACGGAATGCCAGATGAAGACTCTCTGGGGGCAACACGGTGACGCGCCCCCCCCCCCCGCGCGTCGTCCCGTGGATCCGGGTCCTTCCGACCGGATCGGAATCCCGGGGCACGTGCACGCCTACCTGAGGTACCGCAGCGGTTCTATGGTTTCAGCCTCCGCCTCCGCCGAGCTCTGGTTCATCTTGTCCATCGCGGGCTCTGGGTTGTTTGCTGCTGTTGGTTGTTGTTGTTTGTTGGTGTTGTTGTTTTTCTCCCAGCCGGCACAAACTCTGCAAACCTGGCGAGGGGTGAGCCGATGGGTCCGTGGGTCGGATCCCGCGCGCCGTCTAACCTCTTTATTCTGGGGACGAGCGGAGGATGTAAATGGACTTCCTGCCTCTTGATTGGTTCCGACGCTGGAAGCTAATTACCGGCGGCTGCACGCACGCACCTACACGCACAGAGAGACACCGTGTCTCTGAATAATGTCTCTGAATGTCTGTCTCCCTCCCACCGTGGTCCCGGATCGTCCTCTAATAAAACCAGCCGGCTCCGGGAATCAGCTGCGCGGGGGAAGGGAGGAGGGGGGGGGGGGGGGGCAGCCAATTAGGAAGCAGGAGGCAGGGAGCTCGCCAGCTGATTGGCTCAGGTCGCTTCGATCATAGCTGGTCACCCGCCCCCCCCGTCCCGAATTCCCCTCTCACTCTCCATCACGCTCCCCTGATGGAGAATCTAGAGCAACAATCGGAGTGATTGACACCTCTCATTTAGGGGGGAGGGGGGGGGGGGGGGGGGCATATATCATCCCAATGGCTCCATTCCTCTGCTAAGGAATTCAGGGACAAACAGCCCACTTTCTTCTTCTATTGCAGTCGCGCCTTTTCTCTCCCTCCCTCCTTACGGGGGACATTAAGTCTCTTCACGGGACTAACGGTTAAATCCGAGAACTTATACAAAGATGGAGGGTCTAAATCCTCATTCCTGCAACAATTCACAAGTAAAGCGGTTTAGGGAGGAGGAATGTGGCGCACTCGGCCGCCTGGAGGCGGTGACGTGCTACTGCAGCTCAGTCCGCACCGGTCACCGTGCGGGGATGAAGACTCACGCGCACATCTAGAAGTTAAAAGGCACTATTGGTGCTGCTCCATAAACTGCTTACACACGATGAACTGCAGAAAAGATGCAGAAACGCCGGTGGGAGAATTTATGTTACGTTACCATTTGGACCGGCTGTTATTTCAGATAATTTAACAGCGAATCAGTGCGCGTGCACACTCTGCATTTTAGTCCTTCTTCCATACGGGCTTCACGGGCTGGTGATGATGTACGTGCACTCACGTGAGCTCTGCAAGTGAAAACCTCCGAGCGCTTAACCCGGTTCTATATTCTGCAGCCGCGCGTCCACGCAGTTCAGCTTAACTCAATATATTAGACTCAAAAGCCAAAACGTTATCGGTCTACCTGACAAGAACGTCCTCTGCTTCAGGGGAGGAAGAAGAGAACACTGAATTTAATTTAGGCTGTGAATGAACAGGCGAAGCAGCCGCGACAGAGGGGTTAAAATTAGTTTTATTATTATTTGATAGAGCAGAAAAAATCCAAAAGAAACAAAAATAAACAAACACTTTTCTTACATTGTTTTTTTTTTTTTTCCCTCCATTCGGGCAGCACTGCACTGGGTTCTGCAGAGCCCCCGATCCCAGAAGCAAACGGAATGGTGATATTGTGACAGCAGCAGGCAGTAGTCAGGACAGCAGAGGGTTACACTTAGCTGGGGGGGGGGGGGGGGGGACTTCTGTACAACCTGGAAGATCTACCGATGCTACCGTAGACACAAATTCAAGAAGATAAAAACATGAAACTCTGTATGCTTGTGTTTCCATCGGCAACGCTTTCATAATAAATGAAAGGCCAACGGTACGGGGGGAGGGGGGCACCACCTTTCAGTGTGGATCCTAATAATAATAATAATAATAATAATAACGGAGGGCTTAAGAGAGCAGGCTGGACACAGGAGAGCGAGCTGTCTCTTTCTAAATGGACAGCTATTGGGGGGGAAGATAACGGCCCGGATGGTCAGAATATTTTGTGTGAGGTTTTTAAAAACACATCCCTCTCTCTCTTTGTCACCCCCCCCCCCCCGGGCGTCAAGACACTAACGACAGCACGTTGTTAACCAAACACTAGCGTATCCTGTGCTGCTGCGACCTGATAGAAACGCTCGTGTGAGGAACCGACACACACACACACACACCTTCATTTGAAGACGTGTGTTGCTATGGGGGGGGGGTTGCATAAGTAGTTTTTGAACCGATCGTAGAGGAGAGTGGGAGCCACTGGACGCACGTGTGGGAAGTTGAGTGGTGATCCACTTAAACCTCGGACATGAGCGCATATATATATATATATATATATATATATATATCTTAACTAACATGACACTATAAATAAACCCAGAGACAGTTTGTCTACAGAAGAAAAATAATGCACCACAATCTATGACTAAAAGCAAAAACAATGTCACTAATATGACATTCCTCACACCCTCAATATCCAGAGGGCTCAAATAAACTAGACACCTTCTAGCAGAAGGGATTCCATTTGGGCTCCACTAGTTCTTTGGAAGGCTTTTCTCTCTTCTCGCTTTCTTTCTTTCTCTCTTTTTTTTTTTTTTTCTCATTATTCAATACGAATAGTCCTCCAAACATACCGTGTCTTTACATGAGTTAGTGACACCTTAAACTCCATTCTTCCTCTTTATCTTAGAAAAAACAAAGTATTTAAAAGTCGGCCACGACATGGAACCCAGCAGATGTAAAACCACCTCGACAGTAACATTAGCCTGTGAATTCTGACCACTTCCAAAGTATCAGGGAGCACAATATTCCAAACACAGTAAATGACTTACAGATGAACAGTCAGCCGTACAAAACCACCCATCGGCGTCCACGTCTCTCCTGCACGCCGCGGGTGAGAGAGCACACATCATTTTTAGTCCTCTTTGTCCTTTTTTTTTGTCTTCTTTCTCCATTTTCTTGGTTTTTGCAAAGCTGAAGCAGTTATTGTGTCGTGGAGGGTCCTCGAAGCTCAACCACAGCCCCCCCCTCCTCCTCTTCCTCCTCCGGTGCAGCCGCCACACGGGTCTAATCCTGTCAAGTCCAAACTGGGGAAGGGAAAGACTTAAGGCGAAGAGAGTAATGGAGAGGTTGCATGGAGGAGAGAGGGGGGGGGGGGGGGGTTGTGTATTCATTCCCACCTTAAATCCAGGAGTTTATTTGTCTCTACTCACTACTCAACAATGCTGGAGAAGTTTGTACGAGCCCATGTAGGACCCCCCCCCCCCCGACAGTAAACATGTCCCTCAATCCGGATCTCAGGAACCCGAGCTGTCGTCCACTCAAGGATGGTAGCAGAAAAAGAGCAGAAGGAATAACCCCCCCCCCAGAAAACGCTGTTTGGACCAGAGGCGGAGTCGGCAGAAAGGATTAGAGTGATCATGAGGACTGCTGTTATTGATATGAGGGGGGGGGGGGGGGGGGGTAATAGTATTATATATTGCATTATTTCCATGTGTTTGCAGCCTGGGAGATGGAGCGGGAGGGAATCATGTCCAGCAGGTACTCCCGCTGGCGCTCCACGGCGGAGCTGGTCTTGTGGGCAGACAAGCTGGGGTTCACGTAGGCCATGGTCACACCTGTGAGGGGACAAACACATCGGGGAGGGGGGGGGGGGGGGGGGGGGGGGGGGGGGTCAACGCGGCGCAGGTGGAGATAACAGCGAACGAGAGGACGTGCGAGCGACGCCTACCCGTGTTGCCGCCGCTCTGCTTCTTCCAGACGGCCACGTTGCCCTGGTTACTGCCGCCGGCGCTGACCTTCGCCCCCTGCTGCAGCGGGCGCGCCGCAGCGTGCTTGCCCGCCCTGCCGCCCAGCTGGGCCGCCGCCGCCGCCATCGCGCTCTGCAGCTGGGAGGAGGAGGTGAAGGAGTGGGCCACGCCGCGGGCGCCCATCGACTGGAGGTTGTGTGACATGTGAGACTGTGCGGGGGACACGAGGCGGGGTTAATAAACGTGAACACCTTTTTTAAAAATAATTTTAAAAAACAGCGTGGGTCCATCTGCATCACCTGCTTGTGGCCGTGGTGCGCCGGCACGGACCGGTGCTGCATGGCGGCCCGGACGTGCTTGTACTGCTGGGACACCAGCACCTCGCTCTTGGACAGCGAGGGGGAGGAGGTGGATTTAGTGGAGGAGGACGAAGAGGACGCCGCCTGCTGCAGGATGCGCTGCTCGATCTCCTGCTCCTGCTGCAGGGCCTTCACGAAGGCCGCCTTCAGCCGGTTGGTGTGCTCGGCCTTCAGGGCCTTCTTCTGATTGGACGACATGCACTGGTCACAGAGGACGGTCCCGGCCTTCTCCTTTCTCCAGCGGGACGTAAAGTCCGTCTTGCACTGGGCGCACGTGTATGGCTCTTTGGGAATGCAGCTGGCAATGGCGGCGGCCGAGCCCAGATTACCTATTATTTGGGAAACAGGAAGCTCCTTCAGAGAACATGCGACACACCAGGAGCACCAACGTACTCGCGGAGGGGGAAGCTGTACCCACCCCTGCCGTGCATCTCCCGAAGCTTTTGCACCACCTCCTCCAGCCCCAACAAGTAGATGAACTCGTTATTGGCCGCCGAGGGCAGGAAGTTGAACTCGGGGGCCGGGGGCTTGGGCGGGGGGATCTCCAGCAGCGTCTTCTCCAGCTGCTTGCGCAGGGCGAGCTTGGCGGCCGCCTGCCGGCTGGCCGGGGAGTCGTTGAGGTTGGAGTTGGGCGACACTGAAGAGCCTTTGAGGCTGGTCGGAGAGGCCTGGACACAAACACAACAGAACGCACTTCAGCAGGAGGCGGGTGGGGGATCTATGCCTTGCCATTATGACAGGATCCATATTCAACACGATAACGGTCGGTTGGTAAAGGTCCGTGCACGTCAACAATAACACATCCATATTTAATGATGCAGCAGCTTTTATGGATTGAAGACATTCAGTCCAGCTCCCTTTTCTCTTGGCTTCTCTTCGTTGTGGCGGATGCAACAAAAATAAATAAAAAGGCAACATACTAGCAAGCATCTAATCTGGGGTTAATGTGGTTTAATTAATGGGATTTTGAGTGGTGTTGAGAATGCTTGATGTGCGTGTGGGAGAATAAACGGCCTCTGACTGAAGAGGAAATGTAGTTTGTAAAAAGCTAAACACCGACAAACATGGAGTGAACCTTTTTTCAATACATTTCTAATTTTGGAATGAGATCATTACAGAAGACAAAGCCCCGTGATTCTCGCTGTGTGTGTGTGTGTGTGTGTGTGTGTGTGTGTGTGTGTGTGTGTGTGTGTGTGTGCGCGCGCGCCTGAGAGCTGCTGGACTATTGCTAACAATACTTCGGTGGGTTAATAATACAAAAGTGGAATTAAGCGATTTGACTAAAGACAAAGAACAAATCTCATTAAAGTGCAAAATAAAATTAATGACTTTCTCCCAAAATTGTGCTACAGTTAAAACATGCAACATGCATAAATATTAATTTACAGTTTCTATGAGATGAGTGTGTCGCGCTCGTGTCTTCACCTGCGGGATGTTGACCATGACATTATTGTTGGCCACGTTAGCCACCCGGATGAGTCCCTGCTGAATGATCCTCTGGCCCTGAACCTGGACATTGGGCACAGAGGCCCTGGGAGCCAGCAGGAGCGGCGGGGGCCCCGAGCCGCTGTGCTGATGCTGCTGCTGGCGTAGACTGGCTATCTGCTGGGGAGTCACTGCGATGGGCTGACGGTGAAGAGGAAAAACCAGAGGTTAACAAAGAGCCCTTCGACTTTGTTTTCTTTGGGCGAGTGCTTCAGAGCCCCCCCACCCCGCCCTGCTCACCTGGGCCCCTCTGACCAGGGGTGGCATGACTATCTGAGAGTTTTGTTTGGACGGCATGTGTTGCCCTCCCCGCACCAAAGGAGGAGGGATCACCGTGCCCGAGCTTCGACCGGTCACCTGTGAACACAACAGAGCGTCTCAACATTCAGGACAGAACAGGAAAGCCCAGTGACTCGAGATCGGCCGGAACGAGGCGCAGCTACCTGGAGGGGTCCTTTGCTGGATGTGATGCTACCTCTCACCAGAGGAGGAGGAGTGGCCGCAGCGCCACCCAACTGGACATGAACGCAGTGCAACATTACTCTCAAGAAATGGATACGCATACGTTTTAAGAAAAACAATAGTAGCAGCAGATACAAAAGATTCCTGCCGATGGGTTTTACCTTCTGCACATTGCTCTCCTTCTGGATCTGGCTCTGTCGCAGTTTCTTGAGCAGCACCAGCTTGGCCTCCTGGAGTCTCAGTTCCTCCTTCAGCTGTTTGATGATGCACTCCCTCTCCTCAGGAGAACTCTTCTACGGACGCCACATTGGATTAACAAAAAAAAAAAAAAGGGGAGGGGGAAAGTTAGCAGACGTTCATCACCGTTGGCCAAAAAAGTAAACGGCGTTCTCCTACCATGAGTTTATCCGTGTCGGTCTTGGAGAAGCAGTGGCCGTTCATGAGAGGGCTGGACGACTCGTTGTCCGACAGCACGATGACATCATCCGGCGACGCCGGCTGCCGCTCACTCTTCACGTCGCTGAGGGGAGAAAACGACCCCGTTGAGGATTTGTCTCGTCTGTCCATAGACTGAACAACGCACAGACTGCCGTGAACTTCTGCGGTTCTGCCTCACGGCCAGTAGGTGGCGGTGTGAAGCAAATGACATCACCGACCCGCCGCGGCGCAAATGTGTGCTGGGACACACAAGAAGACAAGAGCCAGGAGATCAATAATGGAGTAATGGCGGCACAGGGGAGATCACAACCAGCCATTACGTGGCGTCACACAACACACACTTCCTGCCCTCTTCCTCGCCACAGACACGGCCGACCACGACAACACGCCAACCACAGGGCAGCCGTTTGGTTTTTTTTACAGAAGAAAAGACTTAAAGCCTTTGATAAAACGTTAAGTGGCTTTTCCTGAGGACTCAGCGGAACAAAGGGCCACTAGTGGCGAGCTGCATAGGCCTCCATCCTGGGAGGGGTGGAGATTACAAGTAAAAGGGGTGGTTGTCATTTTTTGGCGTGTGGGGAACAAAACTGCCTCCTTCACAGCGGGGGTCTATGAGGTCGGCGACCCGCCGGAGGACGAGGGGATCCGTCACGGGATTCATGACGGCGTGTAAGAAGTCATGAGAAGCCGTGCACGCAAACGCGCAGCCGGCTTACGTAATTGTTCGGACGGCAGGCTTCGAGCTTGGGCCCCAGTTTGCCACCGACACAGGGCCTCACCCCTCGCCTACCTCCGCGGCGAGGCCTCCTCCCCCCTCCCCTCCCCTCCCCTACCTCCGCGGCGAGGCCTGTGGCCTAGCTGCATCGGCACAGCCTGGGCCTCGCCTCTGGCCTCCCTCCCAGCTGCCGACGCCAAAGTCACAAGCCGAGCTCCGGTGGAGACAGTGGAGAGGGTGACAGTGAGGGGGGGGGGGGGCGGGAGGAGGGGGGAGAAAAGAAGAGGGAGGGGATACATGTGCCCGAGCAACCTATGGGTAAAACCTCTCTTCAGTGAGGGAGTCATCATCACTCCTTCCAGAGCCCTCCCCAAGCTTGTTAATGTTCGGTTTCATTTTCCAACAAGAATCTAGTTCTCGCATGTTTGCGGACACACAAACAACAATTCTTCGGAACGGTTGAGACCTCCAAAAGCGTGCACGGTTTCCCTCAACAGAGGCGCTCGCTTCAGAAGAGTCGCCTCTCTGCCGTGTGGTTTGTACTCGCATCGGGAGATGAGACTTTGTGCAGACAAGCAATCACAACACGAACCGCAACAAACTACTGTTTAACTTTGCACCTCGGCTTAGGAGACGAGGAAACGTCGTGGATGCCTCGCACTTCCTGGAGAGGAAGACGTTTCCGATAAGTGTGTGCACGGCCAGACGCACGGGGCGTCAGTGCGCGCACGCGCCAACCTGCTTCCACGTTATCAGATCATTTTCTGCACACGTGTTAGACTAGTCTTACCCACCTGTGGCTCAACACTGTTGCGCATCCTATTTTTTTTTGTTTTCGGGTCATTCCATTTACCAAAGCGCTGGAGCCTTTGCTCTCCTCCCGAGTCCTGCGGCTCCCTTCGCTCACATGCGACATGGTAAACCGTGGCGGAAACGACCAGCATCACAGACGGGTGACGCAGAGGCTCTGTGGGCCGACTGGCTGCTGCTCTCTGTATCCACCAGCTTAATCCAGCGTCACAACACACGGCAGCTTTGTTACGTAAGCGCCAGAGTTTCTGCATGTCCCGGCCTCCCGCCGACCCGACCGCGGGGTTGCTGAATCAGTCCTTATTGGGCGCAGTGAGATTGTCCATAGTCATTTAAAAAAAACATGCGTGAGGCTGTTGACCGACATGAAACAGATGGACCCCCCCAAAAAAAAGAGTTCAGTCACATATTTATTCAAATGTAAAATGTAAAACAGCAGAAGGGAGAAACGCTTTCCATTACGAGAAACAACTCAACACGTCGGCTCGCGCTGCATTTATACAAACTCTGCAGCAAACAACAATAAGGCGGCCACCTTCGCGGGGAGAGAGCGCGCAAACACATGCTGGGGGTTAAACAGGGGGTCAAAGGTCACGGCACTCGCAGGGCCGCCGCGCTCAGAGCTGAATCCCCTCTCTGTTCCGCTTTAACCGTCACGTCCGTGTGTGCATCCATCGGCCTTACAAACACGGGACATTTTCTCTGTGTGGTCATGTGACACGCCCACCTCCCCCCCCCCCTCCTTCCTCCAACGGCTCCTTCCAATGTGGAAACCATGGCAACGGCCAGTTGGAACCAGTTTGTGACACGCAGCCTTCATTTTGTGTGAAGTGTGAGGCAGAGTTCAGGTGCTGCCGAGGCAGAAAATGGAGCCCGGCCCTCAAAACTTCACAAAATGGGGGCAGGCTGCCGACGACCACACAGCGACTTCCTGTACGGCTCCTGTCAGACCACTCGCTGGTGCAAAGTGAAGAGAGAAACCCGAAACTCCGGCAGACGCGATCGCGACCCGCAACGGCGCCTGCAGGCGCGAAAGCCGACGCCTGGAGTGCATAAATAATCACAAGTTTTCAAACAAACTCCTGCGCAGAAATGCAGGGAAATAGTTTGGCCTCGGCTCGTGTGAAGCGCCGCTCGCCATTCACAGCCTCCTCCTTTTTACCCAAGCGATGGCCAAACAGCAGCACAGAAGTACGGACACTGGACTACAGTCCGCTTCTTTGCATCTTACACCCTCACATAAAGTGAGCGGTTGTAAACTTAACTATAGTGCTTCTTGACCCAACATGTTTTATTGAGTTTATTCTGCAGCACCGGAGCCCAGCGAGCAGGAATAGCTGCAACTGGTCACTGTCAACGGAACAACAATTATGTTCCTCGATGATGCAAAGCCCCCCCACATAACAGCAACAGATCAAGCGTTCCAGGCCTCGGTTCCTCCGCTCACCTCTTGGACGTGCTCATGTCGACGGGCTCGTCTCCGGTCAGCACCTCCACTTTGATGGTGGCCTTCACCTCCCCAGCTTTCAGGATGCTGGCCGGGACCCGGGCGGCGTGCTCGCTGCTCGGCTTGTCGCCCTCATCCCCGGATCCCGCCGCGGCCGGGAGGGGCGCTCCCGCCGCGTCGCCCTTCTCCAGCTTGACCCGTTTGCTGTCCGCGTCCTCCGGGGGCTCCAGGGGAGCCACGTGGTCCTTCTCCAGAGCCCGCTTCTGGCTGCGCGTTTGACGCACCGCCTCCTCTGACATGGCTGCTCTCACCCTGGGGGGGGGGACACGGGGGACGGTTGGTATGCAATAAGACCGCGTAAACAAGTAGAACCGGCTACCTCGGGGCCGTGCGAGTGGATTCAAATTAGATGGCACAGTACCGGTTTGCACAGCAGATGGATATAAATAAAAGCTTCACCGCATCATTATGGTAGAGGTTTCACCGAGTGGGCAAAAAGGTAGCAGCGCATTGTGTGTGTGTGTGTACATACAGTTTATTAGAAGGCAAATAAATGCTCCGACTCCCAAAACACAAAACTAATTACCATGTTTTATAAGCCGGAGAAACCTGCTGATTAAATAGAAGTTAGCCACAGCTCATCATCGTGTCACACACACACACACACACGCTAGACTCGCAGTTAAGGTGGACCTGTTATTCCAATAAATGACAAGGCGCTCCTTTGTTTTGTAATATTTATATCACTTGAGTAGAAGCAACCTAGAACTCTGCACAGGTCCGTTGAGAACAAAGCACAGTTGTGCAACTGGACCGAAGTGGACCGTAACCGTGCCGACGGATTAGGACCAAGCGAGCCTGAAATAAACAATGCAGCAGGAGCACTGAAATCTCAATTTTATTTGAAATAGAGACAAAACTAGAGGCCTGCATTGCCAGCTGTACAGGGTCAGTGCTAAAGGACATCTACAGTATCATGGTTTAGGATGACAGACGCTGGTTAAATCACTTTGATGGGAGTATTCCCATATCAACAACATTTTATTCCAGACTAATAGAGATGCCATTAATGTGTTTGTTTCATAAAGACATCACCGGATTTACAAACCAAACACGGCGCATGAGTCCATGAATTATCCTCCTTGTAATATGCAAGTATTGTTTTTGGAGTTCTGTCCGTATACACGGCCATGTCACTGCCAGCGCACCAGATGCTGACCCAAATCTCACCGCGTCCCACCGAAGGATATTACACGTATTACACAGCAGAAAAAAGGGCCACACGGAGCAAACCAAATGTAGGACATGCACTCAATATGGAACAGGCACATTCTCACGAAGCACCACTTTCATAATAATGAAGAAAACAACAATGATGATGATGAGTACACGTCGACAACAGAAGTACATCTGATATGGTAGTGGGTGATTTGGGGCCAAATATGGACCTTGTGTATCTGAACTGAGAGCGGACTCGAGGTCTCCATCGTCCCACGTGACATCATCACTGCTCCACATGCCCTTATCCAAAGACTCGCATACAGCGCTTCCCCGAAAAACCGGTTCAGACTGGTCTCCTCAGACTGGTTGAGAGAAGACGCAGGTTTAACCCCTGGAGAGCCAGAGCGGCCGAAGGGAGGGAGGGAGACTGAGAGGACACAGGCACGTCCCACTCAGGGAGGGAGGAGGGGCATAGAACTTACTTTGTCTTCGGACATTTCAAAACATGTCCAACAGACCTCTTGTGTGGGGGCGTTTGGGGTGTGGACGCGTCAGCCGTATGAATAACTGGTGTTGCAATCAGGAGTCAAAGATTGCCGACAGGCATAAACATCTTGATGCCCACCATCCGGAATATTTGATCCATATCTGAAAGAGGTTTAAAGAGTCCAAAGAAAAGGTCGCAATTCCCCGGAAGAATCCTACGCACATCCACCGCAAAGCAACGCACGCAGATCTGCTCTCCAGCAATTTCGACAACCCGCCGTCTGCAGCACGGTTGCAGCTTGTTTTCTGCACATCTGCAAAGTTCTTTTTGCTTCCTCCTTCACTGGAGACGAGACACACTGACCCAAAAAACATCCCAAACGAAACAACTACACGGCAAAAGCACTGACACGGACAGATGTGTCCCGCTGTACCAGCCGTGGACACAAAGGCCGTCTATCCGCCAGAGACGACAGTGGGTTGTTATGTCGACACAGACACACACACACGGCTTCAGAATCCGCACTTTCCTGTAAGATTGAGAAGACGCAGCTGCGTCGGTGTGGCAGTGGACCTAGCCGTGTACAAAGTGATTAAACTCTTTGGGAGGACACAGGAGGGGGGGTCCTCAGGTTGGCGACGGCTTCCTTTGTCCCGGGAGAGCCGCGCGGCTGCTAAGCAACGCGCGTGGAACACACCGAATTAAGCCGTCGCTCGCGCATGTGTGGTGATTACGGGTGGTGTGTGCGCACTCCAAAGTTACCGTGTGTGCTGGCACCGATTGTTGCGTCACGCTCGAGTTCACCGGGCCTTTTAGTGAAGGGAGCCCATTGTCTATTCAGCGCCTTGATTCTACAAAGGAGCCCCGAGGCCGGGATGTGAGATCCGAGGACATTCACAAACTCCAGGTTATCAGAACCTCTCGGCACCGTTAAAATGCAGTTCCATCACATTCAGCGCACGTCGCCATAATGATGCTTTTTGCAACATCAGCCGCCGCACCGAAGCCGGTGGTGGTTCCGTCGCCCACTTGGGCTCAGACGTCAATTTTGATGGAAATTGGACATCAGGATTTTGTTTTCCACGGACAGGCAATCAGCTGAAAGAAAGATCCACACTCAATGCTCGAAGCGTTCCTGCCAGTTCCGCTACTCCCAGAGCTGCATCCATCCAGCGTGTAAAACCAAGTGAAACTGACACTACAATCTCACGGACGCGCCCGACTTGTCCATCATGAAGTCCACAGGGAGCCGCCGCCCACCCCGGACCGCTCGGGCCCGGAGCAGCGCTGCCTCTCCACGTCCACAATTGTGGATCAGAGGTCCGCTCCGGTATCCGTTTCACACCATCGGTCCGGCCAGCCTCGTCGCATTACACTACTTTGATTTACGAGTCACGCAGGAGGGGGGGCGGGGGGAGGGGGGCATGCAGTCGAGGGCCAGGCTCGGATTACAGGAAACTCAGGCCTTTTCTAAAAAAAAAAAAAATCGGGTTCAGAAACCGTCTGCTCCTGAAACGAGAACACGTGACTGTCTTCCTGTTGATTTTGGATGCGCGTCTTATCTGCGTGGCGCGCTTCCAGTTTATGGCAGGAAATCCAAGCACAGAGTTCAAAGCTGAACCCTTGAGTGGATACGTCACAAAAAAGGCATCCGCATAACGTTGGTGACACATTGAACAAACATTCTCTACACAGGTTCCAGCGTTAACCTTTTCAAAAAGTGGTCGCCGGGCAGGAAACCAGGCTTCACTTTTGGGTTGTTTGAGTTGCTGAAACTAAATCGCCGTTTTTGGCCACCTTCCTTTGTGGCAGTGATGGTGCAATGCCACTGTGTGTCATTTTGAGAATGATGATTTATTTGGGATGCCGGTCTTTGTTATCCACATTGTGTGAAAAGGCGCTTGCCACCTAATCTCACCTCATGAAGATACATCACTTTGAAATGCAAACCCATTACCGCGTTACAACAGCACAGGAAAATGGCGAAAGGGTGAGAAGGAGAGCAGGAGATTGCCGCCAGTGATTAGTGATCTGCGTCTGCTCCTCCCGGGAGACCGTGGAGGAGGAGTGCACGCGTGTCCCTCTCGTTTTATTCAGAATAATAAGGCCTAAGGGCAAAGCCCATCTTGCAACAAAACAAAGGACGAGGGCGTTTCTACTGCCCACCGAAACAATTGTACAAAGTCGTTTAATTTACTAAACAGTAACTGCATCAAAGCACGCCGGCTCAAAAATCGATGCGCTTAATAAATGGCCATTTATCTTCCCGGGCTAAAATGAAGCTTTTTAAAATTCGATGGGGGCATGTGGCGCTTAGTGCAGCCGGATAGGATGCAGGATAAGATGCTATTGACCGAATGAAAAATGGAAATCTTGTGGCCTCGATTGACACTACAGGTTTTATTCTAGAGCGTCCGGTAGTTCACAGAAAGCGGATCAATGGCAAACGCCCCTCCAAGCAGCACGCAAGGCTCTCATCTCCAACCCTAATGATCTCCCCACTGGGACCGGGCCCAGCCCGCCAACACATTAACAGCCATTTTAAAAATACTGAGGCTTTCCAACAGCGTCCTTGGGGTTCAGTGGGGGGGAAACAACAAGTATATGGTACAATAAAAGCAATATGTGTATGGATTAGTATCGCTCAATAAAAAGCAGTGGCTAAGCTAACCTGCTTTTTGTAATATTGAATTAGCTGAAAGTAGCACATGACGAGGCGGTGAATATCTAAGATTCATGGTGATTGTTTACTACTCATCGCCACAAAGGTTACTTCCACTTTAATTACACCTAATCGGACTCATTAAAATGTTTTTGTTTTTTTTTAATTACAAAATAATTTCAGGCTATCAGAGCCAAGCTTTTTTCCCTTTGGGATAGCGCCTAATTAGAAGAAAAATAAAATCTGACTACCTATGCTAATCCGTGCTCAGCGAACTAGGAGTGGGGGCAGGGACTTCGCTGAGGTGGTGCCACAGTTGGGGGAGGGAGGAGGGCGCAGAGCGCATGTGGTTAGCGGAGCCATAACCAAACTGTACCCAAGTGAAAAATACTCTTCCTTGTCTTCGCTCTCCCTCACTGCTTCGTCCTTCCTTCCACCCTTCCCTGCCTCACACACTCCCCTCCTCCTGAGTCGTTCTGCTGTGGGCTCGGCCAGCCCAGAGTGTGTGTGTGTGTGTGTGTGCGCGTTCCTACTGGTTGTGTCCCGAACGCCAAGGGTTAAGCCCCTGCCATTTTAACGCCACTGACAGATCAGACCATTAGGGTGTTACCTAACAAAATGGAAGCCTTTAACCCTGAATCTGCCAGGCTGCCTGTGTGTGTGTGTGTGTGTGTGTGTGTGTGTGTCTGAGCAAGAGGGAGCCCGGGCCACACATAGTGTCTCTATGTGTGCGCATGTCTCCACCTGGATTCTCCCTCAGCAACGTGACAACGACAACAAGCCCCGGAAATGAAAGCAGGCGCAGCACTTATCAATGCGTGACAACACATTAGAACACACTGATGTTCTTTATTGTTACAAAGATAGAGGACCAACTAAAGGGGAAGCCGTACTCAATGTTTGGTATGTTTGATTTGGGGTCGGTTACAAGTGCGGAAAGCAAAAAATGCTTATTGAAATATTCTTAAACGTTCACCAGTGGCTGGCTGGGCGTAATTCTTCCTACAGAATTTAAATTCTGACATGGTGTCGATGGGAAAAGGGCATTAAAAAAAAAAAGATATCACAAACAATCACACTAACAGCTAAGACAGCTGACGATCGACACCTCGTGCACCCGGATACACATTTCCGCTTAACTTGTTGTGGGACACAAACGACTGTTTGGGTCACATGCCACACGGACAGGGCGGTTTGGGACGAATACTCTGTTCCATCCTGAAAACTAAGTCACAAATAGAAAGGACGCATCCTTCCTGCATCTCTTCGGGGATTGGCGGGCCCGTGTAGTCCCACATGTGCAATGCATAAAAGCCCTCGGTGGCCTTTCGAGCCATTGCACCAGACATAATTTACTGACCATAGAATGACACAAAGAATGTGGAGGTCATGGCGTTCTTAAGCAACTTATAATCACTAGTCAACCGTCTGCCGCAGTTTTAAGCCTAAAATCAATGGATACACTTTCTAAACACAAATGTTCACTCGCTATAACAGACGGGGATAATCTCCAATTGCAGCCAAATTGCTTCCAAATGGTTACTGCATAATCCTATAAAACCAGAAGCACGTACCCACATGCAGACTGGAGGGCCAGGACACAAGCAGACTGCTATCAGATTACATTTCTCAGAAATGGACGGTGGCAGGAAGTGACCAGAGTGGGGAGAGAAGGGAGGGAGGTGAATGGTGCACAGAAATACCGTGTACCCGACAGGATAACCAGGAGCTGTGCATCAGCAGCGCACAACGCTGAAGATCACAGCCGGGCAAAGTGGGGTCGCTTGTCACATTTTTTTTTTTAAATGACTTTCACTAACTGTTAGAACGGAGAGAATTAAAACAGTGATCAGCAGCGGATTCAGATATGAAAAAGTAATTAAAAAAGGATTTCTGGTGCACAAACTGGTGGTAATTGGAAATTAACTGCTTGCAAATTGAAGCTGAGGTCGACTGGTCTTCTGGGGCATTATTAGCCAGCATACAGGTATACGGTATCTATGCCAAACCAGCTTTACGAATGAGCGTGCCTTTTCTTACTGGAGTCACAGCAGTCATAAACAAACACGCATTCTATCAAAATTGTCAAAATCTTTTTTTTTATCGGAGGACACCCACAACCGTTAATGAAACAAGGCTGCATAATTAAGTTTAAACGACAATCCGTGGCACAAGATGAGCCTTTACGTGGGCAAACCCCAAATCACCACGGGTGTGGCCAAGCTCCTGTTGTACTTGTCAGCACACGCAACAGGTCATGGATGTAATAACAACAACTCCTCCACATTAAAAATTCCATTCTCAGACATTTGAGTTTGGGGGTTTTACTCCACTTGAAACCCACATGAGCATGTTTATGAGCGATTAAAGCTGGTCTGCCCGTTTCCAAAACAGGGGGGAAGAACAGCAGGAGCTAATGACAGGAGTCGAGTTTGCACTCAAACATAATAATGATTTTTATTGTAATCAGAGAATATGAAGCGGTTCTTCATCAAGGAAGAAACTACAAGCATTATTTAGTGACCTTTCCGACCTGGACTAGTAGTTGTTGGTTTTTTAAGTACCAAACTTTCACCTATTTGATCGATTTTAGATGCAGCAAAAAAAATAATAATTCAATGCCCAGGTTATTTCTTAAAACCATGATATGTGCCATCATACCCAAGAACAACTGGTCTAGAATATCACAATTTTCCTCACGATAGGCGCTGGATGATGGACTCATTCATTAGGGGCATTCTGAATGACGGTGTGCTTCAGGAATGATAACCAGGTCATTCATTTCCTCATGCAGCGCTGAAGACAACCGATGGCGTGTGCCGAACCCGTCACAGAAACTGACGACCATTTCAGGCATTTTTGTTTCTTCTTTCATCTCGCGCGACAACATAAAACTTCACCGGATTCTGGCCAACGCCAAAAAACGCGCGCGCGTCACCACCGAACCCAGCGTTTAACCCCAGCCATCCACAAGCGTTCAACGACATTTATTTAAACCAGCATCCACATGGTATGTTCATCAAGCTAGCGTGTTTAACGCAAAGCCAGTCTTTGGTGGTTAATGCCTCAGCGTTGCTTTACATGCTACTTGCATCTCACGCGATGATCCGTGCGCCGCCATTGCCGCCAACAGAAAATTGTCTGGAGCCGGGATTTGGCTGTGCACTCTAGTGAAAAAACACCTCATTGTGGTCGTCATAAACTGGGAAACTTACTGGTGTGAACCCTTGTTTTAATGACTATGAAAATACATGTTCACACAATCCACATGAGACGTTACCCGTCCAAGTTGGCATGTTAGGGCTGGCAGGTAGATGGATGTTTAGCAGACTTGGTTACCAAACTGATAATACAGGTGTCAGGACATGTTGCTATGCCGTACTGCTGTGCACTGAGGGGAAAACTAAATACAGTATTTCATTGGGCGTCATGCGATTGGACCGTTGTGGCTATAAGCTGGTTTTTACTCACTGTACAGTGGTTTGTAGTGAACGTAGTATTTGTGTTATCACGAAAAGGCCACGCTCAACTCATCACCCCCAAACGTACCTCTTGCAGGGAGGTTGGTCACGCTGTTAACACGTATGCTTGAATCAATATGAAGTCCAACAGGACAAACAAGAAACCGGTCAGCCAAAGCTCCAAGAATTGCTCCCCTTGGGCTGCGTGAATCACCCGAGACCCAGTGGCCGAAAGAACTACTCACTGCCGCTGGCATTTGATGCAAACGGACAGGGCGGGTTAACTATTTTTGCACCCTGTCCTCTCTTTTCACTCAGGCTTCTCGGTGCCGGACCATTACCAATCCTGGGACCCCATCTCATTCAGCATTTCTCCCTCCCCTGGCTGTTGTTGCCTCATTCCAGATGTTTTGGATCTGGAACTTTATCCTCACAGGGGATTCAGCATCGTCTTTAGTCTCTGAGCATGATGCCCTCGTGTATGGTTGTGATTGTGTGTATAACCACTGCTCAAAATAAGAAATATAGATATGCATAGCCTTAACAATGAGCAACGTGCCTTTTAATCTGTAAGACACAATTAACGAAACCTGGTGTGAGATGGAAAATAAGATGTGTCATCAAAACGTTTCAGCCTTGATCGAGCGGAATGAAGGAGTGGATTTGGAGTCACGCCTGTCCAGTCAGGGTTTTTCATAAGAGGCGCCACTCCTCGGGCGGATCCAAGGCCAATCACAAAAATGCAAAGCGACACGTGTGCCCCATCACTAGCCGAGGGTGCAAATACTCCTCTAGAAAGGGGGGCACTTCTCCAGCATACGCAGGGATGTACAGTGCTGCAGGTCATCCCAAACGCACCTCAAAGACAGGTGAAGAGACAACGGATTTGAACCGACCACTCATTAACAACAAGACCCGGGGTTCATTGCCACCTCGCTGTGGACGCTGTGGAAAAAAAGATCCTCAAATGCTACAATAAGTCGGATGTATCTCACAATCCACATGACATTATCCCATCACGTCACGGCCTCGCAGTGCTGGACCGGAAGTGAACGGCGCAGTGCGTGTTCAGCGTGCCCTTAGACTTGAGCACAGGACACCTCGTTACAGTGATAAAGTGGTGAATTTCATCTCATGTTCTCAAAACTGTTGGTGTTCTGGCGGAGACACGGAGAACGCGTCTGGTCGTCTGTAGTGGGTCGATCGCTACCACACCGTCGCGGACGGACACACACACGCACACACACTCACACTCACACTCACACCCTGAACGGAGGCACCGCCGTCCACCATTGCGCCTCCGTAAAAAGGCTTTTCACGGTCGAGCTAATCCGACAAAGTTCTGAGATCAGTGGCCGATGAAGCGGTAATCGTGGCCATCCGCGGCTGAGAACAGTCGGCTTGGCGACAACCGGCGACGATACTGGTTATTGTGTTCATGAACTTCCGTGACCCGACTTCACCCAAATAATGTCCCCATTATTTCCAACTAACTCGTCGTCAACAACAACAAGCTACCCCATGCTAACGTTAATTTGCCAACAACAACCTGTCTATCTGTCCGGCTACGAAACGAGTGGCTAGCCGACGCGAGCTAACAGTCGTTACCACCGGGTACAGAGATTACGGGAAAGTCTCCGAACAACGAGGCACGTCGCGCGTATAAACGCGAGCCTGCGTGTTGTGATAAGTTAGCTTCGAGGTCCACACGCGTCCGGAATAGCGACACGCGACAGACAATGAAACCGACCCCAGCCCAGCTAAAGTGTCGAGGGGCTAGCTAGCGAGCTAGGTTAGCCTGCTAGCGCTAACTCCCTGGACACTCGGCTGCCCCAGACAGACAGCCGCTAAACGTATTCACCCGTAATGAAGCGTTGATTGCGCTCAGACGCTGTTCCGTCACAGAGTCCTGTAGCGTAATGAGGGTTAAACTATAATAATAACTTACATTATATCACACTAGAGATGCATCACTGTACAAGTTTGCCGGGGGAGAAGTTTGTTTAAATATTCATCGACTTTCGAGGCGGTTTGTCCTCGGCGGTCCGTGCTCGCTAGGTGTATGCGTGTAGCCGAGCGACACACAAACTGTTACCTTGCACGTTAGCTTAGGCTATGCTAGTTAGCTTAACTTAACGTTAGCAGCGCTAACGCCGACAGAGGAAGAAAAAAAAAAGAAAAGAAAACTCAACTTCGCCGTAATAATTGAGCTAATTGAAAATGTAAATATGGGATTAGTTGACGCGATAATGTAAAGTGTGGACTTACGAAGTCTAGGAGGATGCTTGGCCGAGTTTCCCCCCACGCGATGTTCAGATGTTTGATGTTAGTAACGCGGTGGCTTCGGCGTAAAAAAAAAAAAAATCCCGGGGATCCCCTCTCTGCTGTCCGCTGCCACTCCGGCTGATAATGTAACGAGCCACCGCGGACGGCGTCATGCTGCGTTCACACACACCTCGGAAATGTTAAAACCGCCCACTGCTGGGCCGCGAGGATAAATGTTGCGTTCGGAAGAAGACGGAAGAGACAGCACGTGAAGGGAGAATGAAACGAAACAAATAAAAAAACAGGGGGAGGACGAGTATTTAATGGCAACATAAAGTCCCCAAACAGTAGCCAACTCGGGTAATTAAACCCCACAGTTTAATCTTACGACCAGAAGCTGTTATTGTCTGCTACCTATTGACTTTGTTGGGTCATCTGTAACAATAAAGTGCTTTCTTGTGACAGAAACTCATATGTGTGCTTCTACTCCAAAAACATGAAATAAAGATTTCAAATAATGCACTTAGCCATACTTGGTTACCTTATCCAAACTTACACTTCCTCCTCCTCACTGCAAGTTGTGATACATAAACAAAGGCAAACATTTTTTTAAAGGTCCTGCTAATTTGACCCGTAGATGTAGATGTTTTACCTTCTATTACTTATCAGATAGTCAGTCCCTGCATTTAGGTTTCACTGTTATGTCTCCCTTTTCTCAATCACCACTAGATCCCAATTAACTAGAACAGTAATGCCCCTCTTCAAAGCATCACACTGTTTGGTTCTTTAGTTTGGTGCACATTATAACACGTGAGTCAGTGATTCATAAACCTTTATTACCATCATGTTGAACCGAAATGTATGTGTGTGTATATACGGGTTTCGCTTACATGCATAAAATATAATCTGCGTGACTGTTTACGCTCGATATTCAAACAGACATTTTTCCTGCCAGATGCCAGTTGAGGCAGAATCGGATTCATTGATTGCCAAGTAGACATTTTAGTAGATCGGTCTCCATGGCAACAGGATCAATGGATACTAGCTACTACTGCTGTTAAGAGTCCAGTGTCAAACTTCTCTGAGGTGCGTGAACGCATAGACACAAGCGCATCATGTGACACCTCTGGACCACATGATTAACTCACCATGCAGGTAAGTGGGTGCTGGTGTGGAAATTCCTGTGGTTATCATCTCTCGCTGAGATATTTATGTGTCCTGGCTGCTCAGACGGCCATGCTAATAATCACAACACTCTCTGAATGTGCACCATCTGCTCTGAAGGGGTTCGAGTCAGGGAGGTGATGGTGCAGAAGATCCGTGGTTCTTTCACACTGTGGGCACTAATGTCCTGGTTGACAATGGCTCCTCGAGTGGATTATTTAACTGTCTACTCCTTAGTGGTCACATGTCACATCTCACTACTTCTTTATGTTAGTTTGTTGAATAAGAGTCTCAATACAGATCGTTGAGTGAAAGAAGCATCCTTAACTTGTCTATGAGCTGGCTTTGTTAAATGCAGATAAATCATGTCAAAAACTCCTTTAACTGTTGTGCGTTCCCTCCCTGGGACACGTTAACATAGCACAGCGAAATGTAACACAGCATGCATCACAAAAATTAATATTTTACATATTTTGCAAAGAAGAAACCTTAATGTTAGAATTGAATGCATGCAAACTCATGCGAGAACTCTAGCACCACCTACAGGTAACTTAGAAAACATCAACACCGCTAATTCACAAACTATCTCATAAAGACGTCCGAATTTACGCTTATTTCTGTTGCCATTTCCTCCCACAATCTCCACCCATAACTAAAATCAGTAAATCACACTGTATTCAATCATATTTTTATTGGAAAATTATTGAAAACAATGTAAGCATTAAAAACATAGGCATTGGATAGAATATGGCTAGTACTCAAGCTTATACCGTGTCCTTACAGAGTGCCTTAAATACCAAGCATTGAGATTTCTACAGAGGATAGCTAAAAATACATATCACACTTTACTAAATTGCCTTTATAAAATGTCACTGTACAATAAAGGTTCAACAAGTGGCAAATCTATACAAACAAACTGTAAAGAAACCTTTTAGCTATCAAGACAAATGAAAATATAACAAAATAAAATAAATTTGCCTCTTTGAATATCTGAAGATTACTGTGAGCTCCAAAAGTCTAAATCTGATTTTAAAACAAATGAATACATCGGCAAGGAATTTTTATATTATGGAAAAATACATCAGTTGTGTTGCTTTAAAAACGGAACGTGGCAAAACTCGCAGCCACCAAATGATATAAAACTCGCATGTATTTAAACATCGTCCGATATTTCGGCCCCCGACACTATGAGCAGCACCTATTCATAGCGTGACACTTTTTAACTGATTAATGTGTGAAAATATATTACAAGATGTCTCTATTCTTTCGAATATAGATTTTGTGCAAAGAAAACCAGAACCAGGAGTTATTATTTGCCACCCAAACTATTGTACGGAGAGTCCACGTCAGTAACTTCCATGCATGAAAAAAAAACAGGATTCATACAAAAAAGGCAAGATGTAAAATATTTACCAACAGATACAAAAATATTGACATGAATAAATTAATTTCTTCTACATTTCTTTACTGCCTGCTCCTTTATCTGGCCCCTCCTCCCTCCCCCCGACCAATGGAAGAGAAACCCGGCGACCACAGAGCTGGCATGGCTTTACCGGTCGCCGCCGTGCGCCTGCCCGCCGCCGTGCGCCTGCCTGCCCGCCCCCCCCGGCTCGCATCGACGCGCGTCCGTGCCGCCAGAGAGTGTGAAATACATGCACAACCGTCGCTGTAATTGCTTTACAACAAACCAAAGAAGTGGCGGACAATCAGGAAGCAAAATCTTGAGGAACTAATAAAGTGAAGGCCGGAACTCTGCGACCTGTTAGAATCCTCTCGGGCTGCAGCGGTCTGATGGCGGGTCGAGGCTCCAATCTGGGTTTTTTTTTCTTCTTCTTCTTTTTTTCGATGATGATGTAGCAGCTTCCGCCATACGCCAGACACACACGTTTTTTCTTCTTCTTCTCCTCATAGCAGGCTCGCGAGGCTGGTGGTCGGGCCGTTCTGGGCTTGGATCTGGACAGGAGGAGGGCCGTCAGTCCACTAAACAAAAGAAGAAAAAAAAGTCAGTCAGCAAGATGCAGAAAATAGATCCGGGTACAAATATGGGCCGGCAATTTGAGCCTTTTCATTTGCACTAAAATATCTGAAACAGTATCGGAAACCCATTGAAGAGAGCGTCATTCAACGAGCCCCCGAGGAGCAGTCGGGGGCTTCTCACGTACGCTGATGAGGTTGTGCTCGGGGAGGCTGCAGGCGGCGATGTGGTCCTGCAGCAGCTGCTGGGAGAAGTTCTGGTGCATCTGGGCGGCCTCGTGGGCGTCCATGGTGTTCCCCAGGGCCTTGTTCAAGTCTGCAAGCACAGCGCGCACACCTTCATTCCACCACACCTCCAGAACGGAGACTTCAGTGCTTCAAGCGGGACGGAAAGGTACTCCGGCACTCAAACGGGCCCCTTGCAGAGTCGAAGGGCATAAAAGGAAAGGTCGTCACGTACCTTTCAGCAGCGCCGAGGACCAGAGCTGTACAGACATGTCGGGGATCTTGCTGGCCAGCTGCATGGCAGGTACCACCATGTTGTTGCTTTCCTAAAAGAGAAAATGGGAAATCAAGAGGGACGGAAACCACGATGCACATCTACAAACCGCCGCCCTCCGCGGCGGCCATTTTGACGTGCCAGCAAAGGTTGAACACAGGTGTAAATAATCACAATAAAAGGACTAAGGAGCGGGACCCCCGGGGGTGCGGACCGGGATTCATCCGATTAATTCCAACCGCGTTTGCTATGCAACGGCTTGTCTAGATAGAATGTTGAATATGGTTCCTCAGTTGATTTGGGCTTTCAGCCTGAGGCCTTAAAACGAGGACTTTGTCATCTTATCTGTCGATGAGTCAGCGAACCTGAGCTGGCTCTACTTCTACGTAGTTATGATCCAATAACTCAAGTTTAGAACTTCAAAAAAAAAACAAGCAGGCTTATGTGCTGTATTCACAGTCACGCGCGGCATTAAAGTGAATTATAGGCGGTAATAAGGCCCGAGACGAGGCATGCATTCAGTTTTATAAAAGCACATTTCTGCCAAAGGCTTTACAAACGAAGCTCTAGCTGCTCATGGAAGATTATCGGCGCGAAAAGGACAAGGAACACCAGCAGAAGTTGGGTTTCTTACTCTGTGGTTTCCCAGCACGTAGAAGATGTGGCCCAGCAGAACCAGGGAGCAGGCGGTCAGTCGGTTCAGATCCTCAGCATTAGACATCTTCAGGGTTTCCCGTAGGAAGCGTCTGCAGGACCACAGGGGGGGGGGCAGATGAGAGGATGTACAGAAGGGGGAGGGATCGCATTCAGCAGCTAAGGATTGGACGTACTTGGCCTCGTTGTATCGCCCCTGGAAGAAGGACAGGAGTCCTCGGATGTAGAAGGCCGCAGCACGCAGGCAGTGAGAGCTGAATCCCCAAAAACAAAACTTTCAATTGAATCATCTGAAGCCGTGGAAACAAAACGCATTGCTTTGATGTATTGTGCCGTACACACACAAGCTGTAAACACCGGATGCCTCTTACCTCACTGGGAAGTTATGGTCTGGATTGATTCTCTCTAGGAGGCTGTACAACTGAAGGAGACGTGAAACAGAGAATGAGTTTAAAGGGGGTTGCGGTTTGTGAGGAGGACACACGATTGATTGGACGGCTCGGACCATCGTCGTCCTGCATCACGAGTAACGTGCTCGGAAACGACCAACACGTGATGGGAGAACACGGACTGAAGGAAGTGAAGTTACTGCAGCGACGAAGTACAATGAATATACATACAGCCTGTACATGGCCTCTCCAAGACCAACTATAAACACCACTTCCTCAGCACCACCTTTAGCTCATGAGATCATGCCAAAAATCACGTTATCTGCTATCAGAAAACTGTCCCACAAAGCGTCCAAACTAACTGGCTCAAACAAACCTCACTAACCAAGCAGCGAAACGGTTTGTTGGCTTACAAGTGCACCGGTTAGTTCTCATTAAAAAAGGGTCGTCTTTAAATCGGGTTTCAAAATAAGAGCGTGCTTTGATGACGGTGACCCACTGACGACGGGAGGACATTTCAGACCTGAAAACGTCGCTCTCTGGTGGACAAATCGTGAAAGTGCAGCTCTCTCGTCACTAACTTGATATAATGAATACTACCGCCCTCATTTCAGTGGTACATATGGTTGGAACTTGAAGAAGTGCCCCGTTATTACTTCACTGACCTCCTGGTGTCGGTTCCCTTCCCGTATGTAGACGCTGGCCAAGTTGGTGACGATGTACGTCCACAGTTCCTGGTGTGTGGTGAGCTGAAACGCAACCGCATCTTGGGATTAAGAGCGAGCCAGCGCCGGCGCGGCGTCGCGTAGAAGAGGCAAGAGCGCCGCCCGACGACAGTTCGTCACGTACTCACCCGCAAAGCCGTGGTGAACTGTGCCTCTGCGTTATCCATGCAGTTCACCGAGATGCAGTACAGACCCTGGAACGTTTAGGAAAACACGGTAATCAAATCATTGTTTCTTTAAAATAACAGGTTTCCAAATGTTAAACAGAAGTTTATTTCTCAGGCTGGTCCACACACGTGCACGTTCAACACAGATATATATATATATAATCTATTGGTGTATATACCCTACCAATATTCATATAAATGTATGATATGTGACAAAAAAAAGGTAACTAATTGTAATGAGTAGAGATATTTGTTAATTGGGAATTCTCAAATGTAAATGACTCAAAAATAACAGTTTATCCAAAATAAAAATACCTCTTAATGAAATGGTGAATGTTAATTGTGAACGTAGACTTAAATAGGAACACTAACGATGTCTGGGTGTGTTTTCAGTGGACATTATGAAGACACTTTGTGTTTTGGCTCTCTGGTAGGAGCCACTCACCAGCAGCGTGTGGAGCTGAGCGGCGTGGTTGGTGAAGAGTCGGGGCGACTGTTGGCACAGCTGACACACCTGCGAGATCTGGACGGACGGAGCAGAGCGTTCATTTCACGGGCACTCGTTGAAAACCGCGCTGCGGCAAAGCGAGCGGAACGCACCTCTTGTAACGCCGTGGCCTTGTGGCCCGTGACGAGCCGACACATGATGATGTGCTCCAGCAGAATGACTTGAAAGGTGGAGAGGATGGGGCTGCAGTCCAACACTGCGGGAAGACAAGGGTTGTTTTTACAGTCATAAAAAAAAAAGGGAAAAAAAAGCAACGGCCTTTTTTTTAACAAGATTTTTAATATCCAGACTCACTCTTTAGTTTCTCTAGTTGCATAAGAGCCTTGTCGGTGTACTTCTGAGCCTTCTCCAGGTAGCCCGCTTGCATGGAGTGCATGACGGTCACCTGAAAGACGACGAGCAGAGAACAAGCGGCGTGAAGCGATTCCTAAAAACGATGGTTTTCTGTTCTTTTCAAAGCTGCGAGGTGCATCGTAAAAGCCTCAAGGAATAATCCAAACAGTATTTTCATCCTCTATTCAACATGCTGTAGTTTAGGCCCATCATCTGTCATGAGGTCCAAACCAGCAGAGAAACCAGGAGCTGGAGAACTTATGTTAGTTACACTTTATTGTTGCTACGGCGGATCTGTAAAAAACTCAACTGAGAACCTCGTTGTTATTAAGCCTTTTCCTTTTAAAGGGAGAAACCGCTTGCGTCGTGAGTGGGGAGCAAACCTTCCTGTTGGACGACCCGGGAGTGACGGAAGTGGCCTTACCAGATACACCAGGACACACATGTGCTCCTTGGGCAGCCAGTGGAAGAGGTCGGCCGGGTTGCTGGGCAGAATCTCGTCGTCGTGGAGGGTGGAGATGGTCTGGATGCACTGCTGCAGCTGCTTCAGACACGGCTTCACGCTCTTCACCTGGAGGGACGTCAACACAGCCATGTCTACCGTGCTCGGCTTCGGGTAGTTTAAAAAAAAAAAAAAAAAAAAAAAAGTCTGCTTTCCTACCTGCCCGGCATCCAGGTAGTGAGTGACCTGCAGCACCAGGAAGAAGACCCTCAGGGACTCCTTCTGGATCGGGTTTCCCTGCCAGTTTTCCACTATAGTGCCGCACAGTGTGAGCAGGGGATGCACCTCCCCCAGCTTCCTCTCCATCAGCAGCAACTACGGAGAAACACATGGAAATGCAGTTAAAACTTGATAAAATGGTGGGTTTAAAACAACACTTCCTAAACGGTGTGAACAAAACAAGCATTTGGTTGGTATATTCTTGTTTATTCTGCCACGTTGTAACAGTAAAATGTCGTAGAAGAGCATGAAAAGTAAAGTGGAGCCGATGACTCACCATCCCTTTGCTGAGGAGAAACAGCGCCCTAAAGAGCAGGAAAGAAAACACCACGTCAGTCACTATTTCTTATATGAAAACGCACTTTGTGCCACAGATGTTTTTGGGAGCAGAGGGCGCTCGGGGACCACGGCGAGTTAAAAGTCCTCAGAACTGGCTTAACCGAGTCCAGCTTTTAATCAAATGGGTGACAAAGACCTCATTGTTTTCTTTGCAATGCTAATACGTGATTAGAGGGGTGGAAAATAACATCTACAAAAAGCAGCCAGAGCCTTTTCGCATAGGGTTAGGATATATGATCTCAGAAATTCAAATGATGTGGCTCTGGCCTTTCTGTACGGAGTCTGTTGTCGCAGTTTGAAACGGGCGTTCAGATGGCGAACCGTCCTCATCAACCGGCCGACTCCACCATTTACTCATATTTGGTTTGTAAATATTGTTTTTGCGCGCCTCAAATTCTTAGTAATAAAAATGAGTTAACTTTCCCGTTTGAAAAGACGCTTCAGAAACGGGACAGTAAGAAGTTACTTAACTTGAAACACCACATTGACCTTGTGGAAAATCCAGTTTAAATGAACACAAGGTCGTCTGTGTGTCCCGCTCTCCCCCCCCATGACTTCAGTGACAACAGCCACGTCGTCTTCATCACTCATCTTTGTTGTATCTCTGGCTCTACGATCGGAACCCGTCACAGATTAGACCTCACGGAGGTTCAGCTGCCCCTCACACCGCTGCAGCATTCTGATCTCACGTGGTCATTTTCCAAAGATGTATTTCCTTAAATATCAGGTTTTCATATCGATGAGAACTCGAGGGTCGTCGAAACAATCCCGTCCTACTACGGCTCTGCATGCCAAGCACGTATCTCTTTAAATAATTCTAAACTTAGAATAAGGGAAGCAGTGACTGATCGCCGCCGCAGCAACGCCGCCCTGTTATGGAGCGATGCATTGTGCCGCCTCTATAACGTGATGACGTTGCTGCCGCTTGACATCGTCTCGGCAGGGACTCGCTTGCAATGCGACTTCCAAGTTAAGAAAATGTCAGACGCCAACGTGCCGTCAACAAGGGGCGCGTGTGACGTTTACCTGGTATATTCCGACCCGACCACTCGGGCGTACTCAGCGCCGACCCCCAGCAGGTCACATGCTGACACCAAGTCTTTCTCCAGTGTATGAAGTTGCTGAAAGAAGAAGAAAAAAAAAAAAATCATTCCTATCATTTGCTATTTGATCCCAGAGTCTGCACCTTCACAACAACAGAAATCCAATGAACAAACGCACAAAGTACAAGTGCGCGCAAACATCACACAGAACAATCACCACGCTTGGCTGTCGTACGTGTGTTCCTCTTATTCAAACTGAGCGTCACGGTGGCTTTTGCAACAATGTGACCCCTGTGCACGGCGTGCACGCCGAGGCTCCGGCACGTACCGCCAACTGGAACAACAACCTGCAGTGCCAGTACGGGGTCTGCTGGGAGATCTGGATCGCCTTGCGCAGGAGCGGCTTCGCAGAGTCCACCAAATTCTGAAAATTGATTTAAAAAAAAAAAAAAAAAAAAAGGATCGATTGTCAATAATCACATCAGAAAGAAAAAACAAACCGTGCATACACTATTCTGCACGTACCATCGGGACACCGCGTCAATTCCACGCAGTGGGAAGAAAGTGACGGATGTAAAGTGGGCAAAGCTAACGATCGTGTTGCTTCAAATGTGAGGAGAAAAACGTATCGATGTAATTTACCTGTTGGCAGAAGAGTTCTGACAAAATGCTGGCAGCTTCGAATTTGACATCTTCAAACTGGGGGACTTGTTGGGATATAAACCACTGCAAAAAAAAAACAAGATATATTGAACATTAGCGGCGTCACGTTGTCGCTGTTGGAGTATCTTTATGAACCAAAAATAATCCCATACAGCGGCTTGTTACAGCGAACACTACCATCGCTGAACGGTGCGAAAGCAACCGGCCCGCGACAAATATTACAACCCCCCCCCCCAAAAAAACGAGCCCAAACCCGTAAAGTCAAACCGCCGAACACATTTAACCTCCTTGAATTAAAACTATTAAGAGTTTCGCGTTTCGCCGCCCGCGGCCTACACCCGTCCTCATCCCCGCTCTTTCCTGAATGGAACGTCCCTCACCGCTTTCTCCAGGTGGCTGCGGGCCAGCTCGCTGTTCTTGGTGTGGTGGTAGAGGACCGAGCCGAGCTGAAGATGTGTCCGGGCCTCGATCCTCTGTGGCGGCTTGAACTGAAACACCGCCTGTAGACAGTGCACGCAGAGACGGATTTTGGGCGGACTGGACGTTCGGAAATGCTCCGCAAAGCCGAGAAGGGCGAGGTACCAGCGCTCCGGGGCCTCAACGTTTGACGCCATTTTCCCCGACAACAACAAGTTTTTCAGCGCTATGGCCGGACTCCCGGGTTGCCAGTTTTGGTCGAGTAAAGGCCTCAACCCGAGTGTGTAAACCCCCGAATCCATCGCTTTTTCATGAAACATTTAATCGTGTGTGATCACTAACATTTGTTAAATGGTTCAATAAAAATACTTGTTTTTCATAATAATGTATACATTGATTCTACAAAAATTGATAATCTGTTATTATATATTTATTGATTCATGTATGGAATTGAATTTAAAAAATGAATGAATATGGATTTAAACAAAAATAAAGATACAAACACAAGGTAGAAGAGATCCTATTCCCCCAAGCACCGCAGACATTTAGTTGTGAGTGCAAAACCTATACAACACACAAATGTGGTATCTCAACTACATGGAAGATGTTAACATCAAAAGTACTGCTGTAAGTAATTGCTGGTTAATTCTACCCACCGACATTTTTAATTCTTTAAATTAATCACATGGATTGGTATAATTATGTAACGTTACATCAATATCCGTTTGTTTTGAAATTGCTCTCATATTCAAAATGTTAGGGCAACAAAATAGAACGGGAACAGTTTAACTCAGACGTGAGCACAGCTGGCAACCCAACGCTCTGGATAACCTCGCGAGATTTCATCCGAGCAACGGGACTGGCTCCTGGGCGTTGTAGTCCAAAACACTGCCCCAGCTTGTTTGGTTTGTTAAGACCTTTTTGAAAACCCGTCAATAATCCCGTGCGCGGAACCGGGCTGGCGGCGGGATATTCCTCGTCTGCAAACAGACAACACGCTCCGCCGCCGCAGCGCGTCACGCGGCTCCAACCACCTCCTCCAGATAAAGGACGACGACAACAACAACAACAACAACAACAACAACAACCAGGCGGGGGCTGCGGGGGCTACGTGCAAGTTGTTGTAAACGCGACAGAGTCTGGGGCAAAAGCCTCGGAGCGAGCGGGCAGGACACGCGTGCAAGAATCCGCGTCGGACCCGTAAACACGGGGGTCTTTTTTTTTAACGCAAAGCGGAGGTGACCGAACGCAGCGCGCTCGACGCCCCGCTGCATCCAGGTGCGTTTGCTGACCTGTTTTTTTATTGGCACGCTCTCTGCTCGGGACGATTCCAGCGGGTTGTTTGATCGGTAAGTGTCCCCCGGTTTGTTAGTCGAACGCGCTGCAAAGTAATCGGATTGAAAGGCGAAGCTCGCGGGATGACAACAATCTGTTTACACGCAGGCTGCGTCGTGGCGGACTGTTGTTTTGGCTTCTTTTATGTTTCCTCCATATATATGTTTCTATTCCTCCTCCTCCTCAGCGGTGTCCCCCCTCTCCCCCCCCTCTCCCCTCCCTGAATGAGTTACTGAGTGTTCCCGACGGCCTTGGTGATCCGTGAAGGGCACACATGGCCCCCCGCGTCAGCGACCACCAGAGCCCCCTGCCAGTGTCCGAGGCCGCCGTGCTGGATCTGCCCCCCTCCAGCCAAGCAAAAGTGAGTGGTGGGACAGCAGCTGGGAGGGAGGGGGTGGGGGGGTCTTAAGGATCTACAGTGTCCGTGACCTGGTTTATAAAAGCTCACTTGGGATTTGTGTTACTTGTGTAACATTGACCAAGTCCAAGAGGACTATTGGAATGTCTTGTTTCCTCGAAAATCAAAAGGATCCAGTTCAGGGGGGTTTGGGGTTGGAACCCCCTTGACCTTGTTTACAAGCGCTGAATGGAAGCTGAGAGCTGTTTGTGATTCTTAACACTGCTTCGACGTGTTGTGCACATATTGTTCATGATGATATTCACATTTAATTAGAAGCTCGGATCGGAATCGTTTTCTTTTCTTCTTCTTTAATAGTTGAAAAGTTTATGTCCATTTATGAACATGGACCGAAACACAATCTCCTTTTTTTAAAAGCCATTATTCTCCGAGTGGTTCCATTGTCCAAATGTGATCTGATTTCAACCCCTCCCCCTGAAAAAAAAGAGAAAACAAGCGAGCTGTAATGATGTTGTGTAACCGAGACGTTCCGGTTCGACGTCTCAACCCGACCAGCGCCGTAAATAGCAGCAATCTAAATCCGTCCCTGTCGTGTGCGGAGCATCACGACGGTCGGGGACAGCAGCATCACCGTGTGTCCGCGTGGGACTTTGACTCCATTATTAACCGCGATACTCGGAACCTGATTAAACGGCCGTCCCTTCGTCACGTGGGCCAAGTTGTGAAATGTTCTGTTTACCCCGCGCCGCATTGCGCTGCTTATCGGGCGCTCTCTGATTTTCTTTTTATTGGCTCCGACTGTCCCTCCCAACAGAAGGAACAGCTCAAGCAGTCGGTGTTATCTCTTCTTTGTTCCGTAACAACAGTTGAGTCTTTGAGCAGATTTCACTGTGCCAGGGTGAGTGTTGATAAGCACGTGACGTCCCCGTGGACTGATTGTGAGGATAAAACGCCCCGCAGATAAAAAGGCTAAATGCTTAAAAACAGCCTTTCACGGGGCGTCTCTTCACTATCTGAAAGGGCCGGTCCGTCTATCTATAAGTGGGTTGTTAATGTCACAACGTGACCTCGGTGTCCCCACAGGACCTGAGGCCCAGATGGACGGTGCTGGACTCCCTGCTGTGCGGCGCGTTCGCCGGCGCCGTAGCCAAAACCGTCATAGCGCCTCTGGATCGGACCAAGATCATCTTCCAAGGTGAGCGAAAACCCCAACGCAGAGAGGCCGGCCGGCGGCTTCTGTCCCGCGTCCCGCCCCCGAGCGCCGCTGCAACCGCCCTTAAGTCGCGGCTGATCCTCTTAGTAGATGTTTAACCGCGTGTCGCTTCGCCCCCGGAGGTTCACTGTGTTTCTTTTGTCTCTCCGCAGTGTCCTCCAACAGATTCTCCGCCAAGGTGAGTTCAGGTTCCCGCCTCGGCGTGCCGGTCAGTGGTTCTTCATCAAGTTTAAATAACATCGCAGATTCTCATCTGAACATTTCCTGTTTCATACGAATCCACACAACCATCAAACTCATTCGGCTTTGTGTTCACATAGTTATTTGCTCCTTTTGTTGTTAAATGCAACATATGAATTCAACATTGTGAGTCTTTGTTTGGTACAAATCCCGACAAAAATCACACAATTATTTTCAAACATGTGTTATGGATGAAATGCAAACATGTGTTGTCAGATAAGATAACAATGTTTGTCTTTTTGACATTTTCTATATTGAAACCCTCCCAGAACAGGATATACAGAATCTGGTAGATCTTTGCTGTAGTATTACTTCATTTATGTCCCAGCACACGCGTCCATACACTCACTCCTGGTGCACTTTGGACGTATTGAGATCCAGGTGAGATTATTAAGACGTGCCCCCCCCTCCCCCCCACCAGGAGGCCTTCCGGCTCATCTACTGCTCCTACGTGAAGGACGGGCTGCTCAGCCTGTGGAGGGGGAACTCTGCCACCATGGCGCGGGTCATGCCCTACGCCGCCATCCAGTTCTGCTCGCATGACCAGTACAAAAGACTGCTGGGGGGTTACTACGGCTACCAGGGCAAGTGAGTGGAGCGTTTGGCTTCTTAAACAGCTGGGATCCTACGGGTCGTTTTTCGTTTTGCGCATGTTAGCGATTATTCACCGGGGGCGGGGGGGTTGTTGTGTTGCTTTTGTTCTTTTCTCAGAGCTCTGCCTCCTTTCCAACGCTTCCTGGCGGGCTCGCTGGCCGGCACCACCGCCGCGATGCTCACCTATCCTCTGGACATGGTGCGAGCCAGGATGGCCGTCACGGCCAGAGAAATGTAAGTCCCATGACCCCCCCCACGTCATATAATCCCCTCACAACCCCTCACAACGGTAACGCCGGTCTGTCTTGGAACAGGTACAGCAACATCATGCACGTCTTTGTGCGGATCTCCCAGGAGGAGGGAGTCAGGACGCTCTACCGCGGCTTCACCCCCACCATCATGGGCGTCATCCCGTACGCGGGGATCACGTTCTTCACCTACGAGACCCTCAAGAAGCTGCACGCAGGTACCGGCGGCTGAATGCGCCCCTGACACAATTCAAACCCGGCCCCTTTTTTAATGTCCGCGGTCACGTCGGCGAGGTGACATTGGGGTTTTCTTCCTTGTCCCGCCGCAGAAAGAACGTCGCGGGCCCAGCCGTACCCTCTGGAGCGCCTGGCCTTCGGCGCCTGCGCGGGCCTCATCGGGCAGTCCGCCTCGTACCCTCTGGACGTGGTGCGTCGGCGCATGCAGACGGCCGGCGTCACGGGCTGGTCGCACGCCACCGTCCTGGGGACGGCGCGCGCCATCGCGGCGCAGGAGGGGGTCGTGCGCGGACTGTACAAGGGGCTAGAGAATGACCTGGTTCAAAGGCACAGTGCCATGGGGTTCAGCCTTTTAAGACACTAACTTGTCATTTGACCTCCTTCAAAGTTTCAGCGAGCGGGTAACTTCGCTCTTAGATGCGCCTGGATCTCTGTTGCTCCTGTAAACTATGGTTCGTGGGGGGGGGCGGGGGTCCGGGGGGGGGGCAGACCGGAGACGAAGGAACAGAGTTTGTCAGGATTCCCTGACGAAAAAAGGTGCGCGAAGCCGAGGAAAACGGATCTTTTAAGTCGTTCACGCAATCACAACCAGGACAATGAGCATCACTTTGTGTACTTTGTGTTGTGTTAATAAGATAATGTTGCACTTTATGGACTTTATGAGACCTACAAGAAATAACTTGATTTTTATTGAGTTTTTATAGATTTTGATTTGTTTTGCTGGTGATAATTTCAAATAGCCTGATCATGCCGGGGTATGGATTTTAACTTCTTCATGCAATAAGTTTTTATTTAAATATCCAGTTACACGACCGGGGGGGGTCAGCGGGGGTCAGCGGGGGTTTGAGGTTGACTGATGGTCGTATAGGAGGGTGATTATGTCAGCAGGACTGCACAGTTCCTCTGTCCATCCTGCAGCGAGGAGTCATATAAACGTCTATTCAGTGCAACGCATATCAAATATATGACAAATAAATCCACATGTGTACAAGGGTTTGTTTTATGTGCATGTCATTAAGGGGTCGTTTTTGGACTCCTTTTTTCAACAATTTACTCGCCTGCAAAATCATAAAAATGCCAAAGTATTTCATTCAATCATAGGTTTTGTGTGAATAATTTTGCTTTCATTGCTGAATATTGTATATAATATAATAATATCAATGAGTGATTTTGTCCACCTGAGGGCGTCACATGATAAGGAAATGGAATCACATTGTCAGATGGCTCTCAAATTGGAATTGGAACAGTTACAATAATCCAACAACAACAAAGATCTCCAGCGTTTGTGTTCTGTCATGTTGGGAACAAATGTCTTGTTTTTTTTCATCGTTACATTAGAATAAAATCAATTTATATTAATCAATAATATATTATTGACTGGTTATTTCTTGGTTATTCCACCCCCAAAAAACTTGTATTTTCCTTGACTTAAATATTGAATGATGATATCCACTATATCCAATGTACGATTGCAGCATGAATGACGTATAATTTGATGGATCCCTCCTGAACCACGTGTGTGTGAGACCATGTGACCCTTCACCTTCGGTAGGTGGCAGCATCGAGGGCTCTTCTCTCTTCCTGGTCCATCATGGAGGGAAGTTCTTGGCCTGAACTTGACCTTCCCTCCGCAGCCCGACACCATCTACACGCATTGCTTATTGGTTATTATTATGTTAGTATTTCACTCAGTGTAAACTCTCTCTTACTGGAGGTTTTGACGATAGAAAGAAAAATTCTGTGAAATTTGTTGTTGTGGATTCAAACCTCTAAAATAAATTGAGAGCCGTTGCATGAATAATTTATGTAATGTGTTATTTTATACGTTCATGTTTTATACACTGATGTAAACTGATGCGTAAAAAAAGAGAATCATTTAAGAGATATTTAAAAAACATATAAAGAACTCATGCATCATCTTTTAATAATATATATTTTTTTGTGTTATTTATGTCGACTCTTTTACAAAGCGACTCATAATAATACAAAATACATCACATACACAACAACACGCACTTTCATCAAAGCAACTTAAAACTCTCATACCTACAATTTAAACCATCACAATAACTGTTTCAAATGAAATAAACCAGACATTTGAGTATCGGTACGCTGCGTTAACAGGTTAAAGATTTTGTGCGACGCTGTTGCGTAGCCGTGAGCGGACGTGAACGTCGAGGTGAGTGCGTTCCCCTTCCTTCGTCCGCCCATCCTCCATCCCCGAGTCTCTCATCCTGAGCCGCTGCCCGCACGACCTTGACTATGAATTATGGGACATTCTGCCACCACACGGTGTCCAGCCACCCAGCCGGGTATTGCAACGGTCGAAACAATGCCACTGTGGGGGGGAGGGAGGGAGGAGCAGGAAGGAAGAGGGGGGGGGTGAAAAAGATGCTTCTTGAAGGCGCCGTTGCCACGGGCAACCTGGATGTGTGCCAGCGGAGGGGAGGGAGCCATTTGCATGTATTCAAATCTCACATGAATAATTCACCGTGAAGCCCCCTGCTGGAGCGACTGCGGACAATAGCTGTTCCAACACAAACGCACAACAAACGGGCGAAAAGGATGCGCACGGATACCGCGTTCCCAGCCACACAGCCACCCGGCCGGATCCCGGGTGAGGAAAGGTGGTGGAGGGGGGGGGGGAGGGGTTACGCTGGAATAAAGCCCCTCTCACAAATAAATCCGAACCATTTCCTTTTGAATGTGTTTTTTTTTCCAGGTTGGGTTCAGACGCACAAGCCGGCGTATAGCTTTACTTTGCGTTTACACCGAGAGGATGTCAGACCCTGGGAGGCTGAGGAGGGCACGTACAGTACACAAATGCATTCATGCACACACACACACACACACACACACACACACGCACACACACACACACACGTTCACACCCCTGTGGTGGCCTGCAGGAGCCACACGCTGGCTGGCTTCCTTCACTTTGAAGGCCTGCTTTGCCTTCTGCACCAACTCACCGGCGCCAAAGAAACGAATGAGGCCTTTCAGACGTTCCCCCTGTCAGCTCTCCTCAGAAAAGCCCAGAAAATGAAAAAAGTCATCGCGCCGTGACTGCGGAAGGGAAGAAGAGCTCTAATCCCTGCGTGCACGCGTCCGCGTAGCTCCGCCTTCTTCGTTGTGCAGGATGCAGCATGTTGCCGCTGATCGGCGTGGAGGCTCCGGGGGTCACTCCTCTCTTCATCCATCAGAGGGACCGTTGGCCTTCACTCCATCAAGCGCAGGCTGCAAGTGCAGATGAGGGGGCACAAACACACACACACAAACACACACACACACACACAGACACACCCACCCAGCCTCCCTGGTAGTGAAACTACAGGCTGCATGAATCTGAGTACATAAATCCAGGCACACACACACACACACACTGTCCTCGGTGTTTTGAGCCTGCAGGGGGGGGGGGCACAGATACATTAGCATGGCGGGTTTCCATTTTAAGAGAGTAGGTGCGTATTGGGGAGGCTGTGCTTGTACTGCGGCTGACATTTCCACCACTTGGCATTTGAACAGATTCCACACTAAATGAAATGTGACCCCCCCCCCCCACCACCACAACCTGTGTGTCAGGTATGACACTCGAGAGGTGGGGAAGAGACGGAGAGAGTCAGGGAGGGAGGATGATTCAGGACGAATGCTAAAATAGACACTTAAATTGGATTTGTGCTTGTGGGGAAATTATTTTTCCCAACTAGTCGGGAAATGAGGTCCGTTCTCTGCCAAGTGTCAAGGTCACGGGCAGAGAAGGTGGCTGTTAATGTGAGCTGTGCTGCATTCCTCCCTCATCACTAATGATGATGATGCAGTAAGTACACGACTGACTTCATCCTCCCTCCTTCCTCTCAGTGCCGCACTCTCAAAACGCGCCATTAGGGTTCAAGGGAGGGCGCCAGTTTACAGCCGAGGGGTTCAGTGTGTGTGTGTGTGTGTGTGTGCACGTTTGTTAACATGCATGTATTTCTTCTGCAAGTGAAAAAGGCTGGAGGGGGCGAGGGGGGGGGGGGGGGGGGGGGTCGAAGGAGACAGACTTTGCATGAGAATGGGCCGGGGTCCTGTGAACCTTCTGCTCCCTGCGTCTCAGCCGTTAGCATCACAAACCAGACTCCAAGTTTATCCGAGCACAGCCCCCCCCCCCCCCCTCCACGGAACCCCCCCCCCTGCCATCCTGTGTC